TGAAATTCTCTGGAGAATATGAACGAAACGAGACGTCTTAAAAATGGTGACCTGATCAGATGCCACCGCTAACCTTATCCTGGAGTGAATCTCCAATTTTTTTTTTTAAAAAAAATAAATAAATAAATAAAATTTGAAAACTCAACACCTTTCGATGGGCTCTTTTGACGCGGATGAAACACGTAAGGAGAGATCAACTCTATATAAAGACCCAATCAAGGATGGACAAAATGGTAAATTCGTTCTCACTCATGGTATTACCTAGGCCAGGTTTCATGTGGTCCATGGCCCAGCGAAGAAAAACTGCTCACCTCTCATTCAGTTGAAATCCCAGAAGTGCCCTTTTTGTTTTTACTTATCCCCCTCGTGGTGCATGCACCAATAAAATAATAAATCATATATAATGTTTTTATAAAACATCATTGACCTTTATGAATTAGAGAATCAATTATGTATAATGAGTCCCACGTAAATACATAATAAATAATATATCTAAAAATTTTCACGAAATCAATTATCTTGCTCTATGTTATTAGGAGCAATTGCCATAAATTTCACGAAATTTGGGTTAAAAGGAATAACTTTCATAGTCCGAATATTATCTATTTGATTTAATAGTAATTCAAACTTTAATCATAAAAATCTATTAATTAGGAAACCATATAGGGATAAGGTTAATAAATGACGCCATAGCATTTTTCTCCAAAAATTATGCTACTAGGGAGAAGCTTGGTTTTCATTGTGGATTTTCTTTTTTGTCTGTTGTTTAGATTGTTAAATTTATTTACTTTTTGAATAAAAAAATATTAATTCATTTTTAAAATGACCAATAAATTTAGTTAGTACTATGTGATGAAAATATCTCCTTTTTTTTTTTTGAACTTTTTGTGTGATGGATTTGGTTTAAAATGATAATTATTTAATCATGAGATTTTTAACTCTTGAGTTTTGTGTGTGGATTTAGACATGATCCAAAATGATTTTTTTATCAATTATTTTTTAACACCGTATTTTATCAATTTGTCCTATAAAAAGTGATAAATTTATATAATATTCTTGTTATTGCTTCAACTCATATTCTCCAAATGGTGTATCCCGTTCTAATAGCTCCGAATAAATTAAATACATATATTAAGATACAAAGGTTTTTTATTCCACAACAACCAAAGTACATTTTCACTATTTCATATATAAATTTCACTTGGAAAAGAAAATATTCCATATTAATGGATTCGGATTAATAACTTAAATTGTAGTTCACTAAAAAATATTTATAATATAAAGCAGGATAAATTTTAATAAGTTTATCCGATGATCTCAAATAAATTCATCCAACGTCCACCAATATTTCTCTCAAAATTATTCAAATTGTATTGTACATTTAAGTACGAATTATCCCTAGTATATCAATATTATAGTCCACCCTGTTTAAAAATGCTAAGTAATGAAATGGTAATAGAGTAGCACACGAATTATCTAAAAATACTAGTCTAATTAGAAATATTATTTTTTTTGTTCAACAGTTAAGAGTGTCTAGACCAGTTTATA